CCCCAAAACCCCAAAACCCCAAAACCCCAAAACCCCAAAACTAAAATTATCATTGAGAATACTACAAGGATCCTTCAGTGAATATATTCTTGACTTTTGGAGTAGGTTTGACAAACTTCACTTCGGAGTTCTTTTCCCTGAGCTCAACCCCAAGTGTATAGTAGTAGAACATCTCTGCTCAGAGCTGGCCTGTGATGATATCTTCAAGTCTAGGGTTGTATTCACTAATAGTTCATGATTTCACCTCGTTGAAGTATCCACTCAAAAACATTATTTCAATCATCTCTTCTGTAGAGAAAGCCTCTGCCATTTGGATGTTATAATCCACTTGGATTCACTTGAATATGTCTGAAGACTCTTTTAGTAGCTGATAGAAGTACTTCCCAGCCTTTGTGACTATGGGAACAGGGAAGTCCTCTGGGTTCTCTGGTGATGCAAGATCTATCTCTTCTCTAGGGATAACTTTAAACTGACTATCACCAACTGCTTTGTGTTCCTCATAGGCACCAAGAAGGATCAGTTGTGACTGACTCTCCACAAATTCTTCCATGTTCCTCAGATAAGTGTGTCTGTTGAAAGGAGTCACCAATCCGTTCTCTTCTATCTTTTCATCATCTCAAATGCTACTCAAAGATATGATTAAGGTCTTGTTGTACTTTTCCCTATCTTGGTTATCTATATTGCAATTTAATACCTGAAATTTTCAAATAAATGTGTTCATACCTTCCAGAGAGTAATATTTATGGCTGATTAGAGCTTTGCTAACAAATGGAGTGTAGTCTCTTGTGCCTCCCATTATGAAGTTAACCTGGTTCCTCTCAAAAGTAAGCAAAGATTTAATAAACAACTTCTGTTGGTTCTCTTCTAAGCTAAACTCGCACATTGATTTATGAGCAACAACATTTCCATAATCTGCAATCTTGATGTTCTCAATTTTTATACCAAACTCTCTGTTGTCTAGCACTCCACAGGTTCTGATAAATCTTCTGAAGGAGTCAGGGCCATAATGAGCCCCAACTTTTAACTCTTTTGCATCGATTTTCTTTAATATCTGATCATAAGGGAATCCAATAATGACCAATTTCTCATAAAAATCATTCTAGAATTTATAAAACTTTGCATACCTTAATGATCTGGCCGATGAAGCCTTCGACATCTTCGGTGTGTTTGAGGCCAAGCTCATGAAGCGTAAAGCCATAGTAATCCATTTTCAATTATTTTACAAATCCTCGGGGTTTTGGGGTTTTGGGGTTTTGGGGTTTTGGGG